TTATTGTTCCACTGGATTTGTGAGTTAGTAAATAAGAAAATAGTCTAAATGGCTACATGATTCTGGTTTATACTGTGTAAAGAAGTCTGAGGTCATGTATGAGTGTGATTTCTTTCATTGCTTATCAGACTTAATCATCAGTTTTTTCCCTTTTGAGATCTTTTTCATGAATAAATAAATAAATAGGTCCTTAACGCTTTCTTTCTCATTCTGATGATTATGTGCTGAGTTTCTTTAATGCAGAATTCTTTTAATGCAGAATTTATAAAGCTATAAAAAGCTTTTCTCTGAGGATTGTTATTAGATCTATGAGGCCTTCTGCTTTCAGCATGCAAGTCTGTTAGAGAGAGAATGTTCTTCAAATGAGCAAAAGATTTTCATTGCATATAATTTTGTTCAGCAGTACAGCACATCAGCAATTTTGCACAACAACCGTTAGATTAGAGATGCAATTTAACCTAATCATGGTTGCACAGACCCAGGCCAGTGAGAAGATAGAGAGAAGCTTACAACAGAAGATATTTTCTTCAGAGGGAGACATTCAGAGAAAAGCTCTTATGACTTAGTGATTTTTACTGAAATAAAATTGTACAGCATAACCTTGTTTTGTTGGAGAAATGTTAATTTTATTTTAATAACTCTAATAAGGGATTTTGTGAATATTTGGACTGATTTTTTTTTAAGTTTTTAAACTTAAATTTAAAAATTACATTTTTTCCCCCCAGTTAACTAAAACATAATTTGACAAACCAAAAACTACACTTGTTAGGATTGACTAGGAATCCAGTAATTGGGACTACTGATTGAAGCCACACATTTCGTTCTTGTATATACAAAGAAAATTGATGGATTCATTAATTGTGTATATACCATATTCTGAAGTCTTGACTTGCATTCTTGTCTATGCTAAGCATTAGTTTATTCTTTTTTCTAGTTTTTGTATCTTTGAGTATCTTTATGTTTCTACTGTATGCTTGGTTTTAACTTGTGCCTGTTCTGACCACTCATTCGGGATGAATGAGTCTGTGGTCTGATAACACAATGGATTTAATAATCCATTAGTAAACACACACAGCAAACACTTGCATCCTGCCTATAACTCAGACTATTAATTAAATGCCTATCTGTAATGTTAACCACTTAAGAAACTAACATTACACAAAATCAGCTTTCTTGGATTCGATCCATTCAGTGATCTCTGAAAACAGTGAGCAATAAAACTAATATTATCCTGGCATTAAGGACATTTACACCACAAGGAGTGTGAGGAATGCAACCTCCATCAGGAAGGACCCCTCTCACCCATCCTACAACTGGTCCAGGAAGAGGCTAAGAAGTATTCAGGCCAGAACGACCAGACTCAGGAACAGTTTCTGCCTGCAGATTTCTGAACAGCCATGTCCAACTGTGAACACCCCCCTCCATCTTTCCCACCAACCCACCCAAGGACTGTGATCATAACCCCCAACAGCACTATCGTCACTTTAACGCTACCATGTCCTGAGACTGACCTTCCAACCAAAGTCTGAACAATAATATGACTCTACCTCACTCAGCAAGAGCAATATTATTATTACATTACTATTTGCAATAACTGTATATATTTATTCACTTAGTACTGATACAATATTCATACATTATACTTCTTTTCTTTTAACTGTATATATCCCCCACTGCTGCTACACTTTATATACATTTCATCTATTTCCTATTTATGTGACTTGTTTAATTTTGTATGATTCTGTGTACCTTAAAGTATTATTGTTATAATAATTATTACTATTGTTGTCTTTATTGTTGTCTTTAGTCCTCGTCAATGTCTACTACATGTTGCACTGTAATTTCCTGAAGGAACTGTTTCTTTTTTTCTATTGCCATGCGATGTGCTAAACATGACAATAAAGCTGACCTTTACTTTAATTAGTCTCCTTATGCTCTCTTAACAGAGTTTTTTTCTTGACACTCTCTCCTTCAGAAAGCATTGGCTAAACATAAAGAGTGATCTTAAGCTCTAATAGCAGACAGTGCCTGGCATTAGTATTTACTTCCTTTTGAACTTTCCCACCTGGTGTAGTGTTACAACCTAGAACTGAAATGGACTTAATTGGATTTATACACTACCTGGCCAAAGGTTTGTGGACACCATCAAACCCATATGTGCTTTTTTAACACCCCATTCCAAATTTAGTCATTTTGGAAAGGGCTGTGGGGATCTGTGCCTATTCAGCCACAATAGCATTAGTGAGGTCCATGTCTTTGTACACAGGGGAACTGTCACGCTGGAACATGATTGGACGAAGCCCCTTTGTTCCAGTGAAGGGAAACTGTAATGCTATACAAAGACATCCTGACACTGACAATATAGGTTGCAAAATAATTTACAAATAAATGTAATTCACCCCATTACTGCAAAACCCCTGAATTAGTAGTGGTGGAACCACTTGCTATCTGAAATATTTAGCCGGAGTCGACCTGTGGGATATATTAGAAGCAAGTGCACAGTCAGTTGTTGTGTTGAAAGCAGGAAAAATAGGCAAGCATTTTTCCTGAGCACCTTTGACAAGGGCCAAATTGTGATGGCTAGACGACTAGGTCAGAACATCTCCAAAACGCCAAGTCTTGTGGGGTGTTCAAGGTTCAAGTCTCTTTATTTGTCACATACATATTACATATTTGTGACGTAATTTAGTGAAATGTTTTTCCTTAGTTCCAAGTTCCACAGTGCAAATATGAACAGAACAACAATGAACTAGATATACACATACATAATAAAAACAGAATATAATAAAATCTAGTAGACTATATGATAAAGAAAGTTTAGCAGGCTTTAGAGGAATGTAATGTATAGAATATGAATATACATAAACAGAATATGCTTAAAAGCAAATATACAGAGCTCTACAGTGTATAGAGTTGCTATGTAGTGTGTAAAAAAAAAATTCCATAGTGCAAACTGTTTGTTTATGTGTATCTGTGTGTGAGGTAGAAATATGCAAACTTCTTAAGTTTCCTCATTCAGTAGCCAGACAGCCTGAAGAAAGAAACTCTTCCTGAGTCTCTCTGTGTTGGTCCTCAGTATCCGATAGTGCTTCCCTGATGGGAGTACTGAGAAGATACCATTTCCGGGGTGGTGAAAGTCTTTTACAATTCTCCTGGCCCTGGTCTTGCATCGCTGCTTGTATATGTTTGTGATGCAGGGGAGAGAAGTCCTGATGGCCTTCTCCGCTGCCCTCAGCACTCTGGATAGCACTTTCCGGTCCTTGGCCGTGGTGCCTCCGAACCAGGTGGTGATGCTCCTGGTGAGAAGACTCTCCACAGCCCCAGTGTAGAAAGCCTTCAGCACCCTGTGAGAGACCTTGAACCTGGAACCTGACATCGCAGATGGTAGAGACGCTGATGCGCCCCTGTCACCAGGCTATTTGTGTGCTGTCCATAAGAGGCCTTCTGTGAGGTGGACCCCAAAGTATTTAAAGCTGCTCACCCTCTCAACTGTGGCCCCGTTGATCAACAGGGGGCTGTAGTTCCTCACCTGCTTCATCGGCACATGCCTCCTTCAGAGGCATTGCCATTATTAATGGTGAGGGGCTTGGGTCTGTAACAGGTTGCATGCTCTGCCACAAACACCTGAAATCTGCCTGCTCACACTAGGTCTCAATCTTGTTCCTATATTTCCTTTTGGCTTCCCTCACCATTTTCCTCAGGTTGTAGGAAGCCGCTTTGTATTTGTCCATGTTGCCAGTCTGCAGCCCTGCATTGAAAGGCAGCTGTGCGTGCGTTCAGAACTTTCCGCTCAGATCGGTCTACCCATGGCTTCTGATTGAGAAAAACCTTTATAGAGCGTGTGGGAATAGTCTCTCCTATCAGAAACTCTGTATAACCAAGCACCGCTGCTGTAAACTCGCTGATGTCATCAGAGCTGCGCCAGAACATCTCCCAGTCTGCGTTCTCCCGTGCGTCTTGTATCGTGGCTTGTGATTGGTCAGCCCAGCGCTGCACCTCCTGCATCACCGGATCTTCCCTCCGCAGCTTCTGTTTATATTTTGGGAGTAGCAGAATGGCGGCATGGTCTGACTTACCAAGTGGCTGTGTTTTTATTGCTTTATAGCAGTTTCTGTGTTGTGTGCAACAGTGATCGAGTGTGATGTGAATGTGCTGATAGAAATCCGGCATGACTTTTCTCAAGTTAGCCTTGTTAAAGTCACCAGTAATCACCAGAGCTGCGTCCAGGTGCAATGTTTATAGTAGTCCAATATGGACTGGGCATTAGCAAACAATATGCTGGCCATTGGTGTGGAGTCTGCTCTGGCTCGTACCCGGTTCCTCACACCAGCTCTTTTTCCTCCTCGTCGTTGCCGCCATCTCAGGAGAGTAAATCCATTGTTTACCTGGCTCAGAGTGATCTCCGGAGGCCAGTCGGCATCAGGATGAAAATGGGAATTAGAGTGGTGATTGAAGTCTATACCAATGTTGATTAAAGTTTGGCGGTCGTATGTTATATTTCTGTGGGCTAACTCAATGATAGTGCAAAAAACAAGATAAAAACACAAAAGCTGCAGTGTGGGTTGTGAACACTAACATAGGCAGTCTTCCTTTGCGGTTCTATCTTGGATTAGATGGGTATGCAGTATGCCATCTTGGATTAGATGGGTATTCAGTGCCCGGTATGCTGTGGTTAGTACCTACCGACAGTAGTTCAAGGATGAACAACTGGTGAACCGGCACCAGGGTCATGGGCACCCATGGTTTATTGATCCGCGTGGGGAGCAAAGGCTAGCCCACAGAAGAGCTACTGTAGTAAAAATTGCTGAAAAAGTTAATGATGGCTATGACAGAAAGGTGTCAGAACACACAGTGCATTGCAGCTTGCTGTGTATGGGGCTGCATAGCCACAGACCAGTCAGAGTGCCCATGCTGACATTTAGGCACTTTGGCATTTGGCAGATGCCCTTGTCCAGAGCAACTTTTTACTTATCTCATTTTATACAGCTGAGCAGTTGAGAGTTAAGGGCTGGGATTTGAACTCAAAACTTTCTGAGTAGTAGTCCAATGTATTACCACTGAGCTACCACTGCCCTTCATTGTTTATTGCAAATAGGTGGCACAAAAGCGTATCATTCTTCTACTTAATTTCCATTTCATTCAAGGCAAGTGTTCCAGCTCTTAGGTTTCCTCTAGAAACTTTTTTAAAGTTTCCTCTTCTGCACTTTTAAAGTTTTCATCTGGCTCACTCTCCTATATAACAATATTCAACAATAAATACATCAAAGGTTCGTTTAACAAATAATTCAGAATACAAATCTCCGCTACGGAATAACTGGGTCTTAATCCACCTTCAATATTAAAGGACATTAGAACTGCCTGGTGTCAACAGATGTTTCTGAAGAAGGATTCGGTGATCCTACTTCCTCCTGGCTAACAGACTCTAACTGACAAGTACCAGTCCTTGTTTGGCCTTGAATCTGTGTGATGGAGTCTGATTGCTTGACAACTTGCCTGTAAATGTCATTCCTCCAGATTTTCCGGGTAGTATGGCAAAAGTTAGCAATGGCTGGTATAATTTCATTAGCAGCCCAGTGGTGGTGAGTCAAGGGATCTTCCATTTTATGGGGATGGTGGTTCGGTTTGCAGGACATGAATTAACCACTTTCAGAAGGTTTGTCTCTACCGTGTCCTGAACAAGTTTCCAAACAACTCCTTGAGGTTTGTACACAGCGAACAGACTGAAAAAGCGTGCAGCTAGCATAGCTATTGCACTTCCTGTTTTTATGACATTAACTATTCTTTGTTTGCCAACTGAACAAAGTAAAACTCGAACCTCAAATCGTTTAAAACACGCTGCTGACCCCTGCCCACCGCTGAAAGAGCCTACAATGGGCATGTAAGCATCAGATCTGGAGCAATGGAAGAAGGTGGACTAGTCTGATGAATCACATTTTCTTTCACATCATGTGGATTTTACTTTGACACGTACCACCTACCTAAACGTTGTTGCAGACCAAGTACACCCTTCATGGCAACGGTATTCCCTAATGGATCAGAGCTGTTTTGATGGCACAAAGGGGCTATACACAATATTAGGCAGGTGGTTTTAATGTTATGGCTGATCAGTCTATAATGGTTCCTGAGAAAGAACTCTTCCAGTTGCTTAGCCACAATGCTGAAGGGAATCTTTACTTTCCGAGCAAGGAAATTAAACCGATTGATGTCCTTGGTGTTCTCCTCTTTTGGGATCCATACCCCTTCTGCAATCCACCACTGCTATGCTGCTCTGCCTCTATATCCAAAGCCATTATAGTAGCCAAAGGCAGTATGTGTAGACCTTGTAGGAGGTTCACTTGAACCTCAAATCAGTTGGATCTAGATTTCCTTACCACCTTCTGGATTTCTTTCAAGAGCAGCTCTCTTGGGTCAAAGCTTCTACTGGCTCTGATGTTTTGATCACTATCTTGCACTCCCCTAGGTTTTGGTGTCTGGTAGGGTCACTAAACATATTCTAGGGGTGATGTTCAATTTCACTCTTTTGCACAGGCCAGGCATCCACTGTGTTTCTGCCTGAACAGTGGCCTGGTGAACCCAAATGGGTTGTTGATAAAGATTGATCACTTCCTAGCCCTTTCTCTCCTCTGCCTGCTATGTTGCTCTGTTAGGCGCCTCTTCCTCTATATTACATTAGGCTCTACAGGTGGCATCTTCCTCGTTTCCCTGGCATCCTTGTATTGCTTCTTTAAGGCTATAAGCTCCTTCCTGATGTTGCAGATCTTCTCTGCTCTCTGATTCTTAGTGTAAGGTTGCTTGGTTATTCTTACCTCCTCTTAGCATCCATGTTTTCTATGATGGTTGTCATAGCCCATGCCTATGGTGCTTGCAGTCTGTCTTTGTATCTCATGTTCAGTTGATGTATCTTGAGAACACAGACACTTGATATTCATTTGTCCATTGACATAAGTCATTGCCATTGAAGCTGTCCAGCTCAGTTGCCCTTCCTCCCTGGCCCCTGGTGATAAATAAAAGGGCATGGTTGATGAGGTGATTGATGAATTTGGAGCCTCATGGACGCACATGCATGGAACCAAGGTTCTCGACGCTTCTGTGGCAAAGCCATGTAATGTTTTGTTGTAAACTGTTCTAACAGACCTTTAGCAGGGAGGTCTTTGCAATTTTTCTGGTATATTGTTCATTTGATGTCTAAGCTAGCTCGTTGTGCTGATATTATAACTAGCAAACCAACATGAGTAAATGAAGTGACGGCATAAACCAAGGCAGCTAATAGTAGGTCAATTTGTTGTTGCTCTTTCTGCTGCTCCTGTTAAGGGTTGCTACAGCAGATCAATGGTTTGCATGTTTGATGTGGCACAGATGCCAGATGCCCTTCCTTACACGACCTCCCATTTTATCTGGGCTTGGGACCAGCACTGGGAGTGCACTGTTTTGTGCAACTCCAGTGGCTGGGGTTGGTTCCCTGACCAGGAATTGAACCCAGGCCGCAGCAGTGAGAGCACAGGATCCTTAGCC